ATACAGTAGCAGCGTGATTTCAGATTCATGGCACTGTGCTGCATGCACCAACAGAAAGGTGCAGCTGCGCGCCCTCTCAGCAGTCCATGGTATCCTCCTCGGCCAGCGCACTGCAGCTCAATACAGTATCGACAAGTCGTGTATTCAGCCAGAATTCCACTGCACCGCCTCCTTCTTCATCCCCTCGGCCTCGGCCCTCACCCCTACCAGCCCCCCTGGATGCCTGGCGCTCTGCATGGGCTCCCCCTCCTCCTCCTCCCTTTCCTCCTCCTCCTCTTCCCTCTCTCCCAGGCTCCCTGCACCCCCAACCTCCTGCTCAGGCTCCTGGGTAGAGTGGGGGATCAATGGGGGAAGCGTATGGTGGTGGAGGTGGTGGTGGGGGTTGGAGGCGGTGAACCCCACACGACGGCAGCCTTGCAGGCAAGCAGGCGGTATGGAGCAAGAGGGGGAAGAGGAGATGGGGGTGGTGGGTGGTGGGTGGTGGGTGTGTGGTTGGTGGGAGCCCACCCTGGCAGAGGAGCACCCCTCTCTGCAGACCTGTCGCCTTGGTGCAACAATGGCCGTGACAATGACACTGGAGGAGGAATTTCCGCTGCACCCCCTCCCTCCATCCCTCCCTCCCTCCCTCCCTGTCCATCACCACCACACGCACACACCTCCCCACCCCATCTTCATAGTGCATTAAAATCTGCAGTGCCAAGATGAATGGCTTCTTAATAGCTTTCATTTGTTACAATTATCATAATTAAACATATGTCAGGGGCAGACAAAGGAATAGGGAGATTTCTGTGTTAGCACCTGAAGCAGAGGAGGATTCAGGCACTGGAAAGGGATAGCTTTTGTTGTAACATAATTAGCCTGAATAGACTTGCATGTAGGAATCATACAGCATATTTACAGTAGCTAATTAAAGAGCTTCTATTTCAGTAATTCGGCAAGTTTCCATAATCTGTTTTCAGCAACAGTGTGAACCTTGAGTCTTGTGCTTTCCTGCCATTTGTGTACATGTTTCATCTGTACGGCCTTGCTACATCAGCCTGTTTGATAGTGGAGCTTAATGACCGCCTGCTGAGCGCTGTGAGAATGGCTGTAGGGCCCTCTTAACATTTTTGTAATACCCCCCCCCTCCCTTCTCCTCCTCTCCACCCTGTCCTTGCATTCTGTCCCTTAAACCAATCAACTCTTTTCTTCCTCGTAGCTGTGGAGGAATGAATTGGATGCTTGGCAGAGGTCTTTTACCCCTCTTTCTTACTTTCCTCTCTCCCTTCTTTTCTGTCTCCTTTTTGTCCCGCTCATCCTCCCTCTTGTCCTCCTTCCACCACACCTTTTTCTTCTCCTCGCCCTCTGCATCAATCACACTTTCCCAAATATACTCCCTCCTCTCCCCTCCTCTCCCCTCATCTCTCCATTCCCTCAGTTGGCACTCCTGGCACCGTGGGTGGCGGGTGCCAAGGAAGGGGAGGCCTCCTGGCTTCCCCCTGAGCCACCATTTTGTGGATTGCTTCTGGAGCGAGCCAGCTGTGTGCAGGCAGAGAGCATGTCTGAAAGACAGAAAGAGGGAGAATGAGGAAAGAAATTGGTGTTGCAATGGAAAACTGTCAGAAGGGCTGAGCTCTGAGCTCTGTGTGCTTCCTGCTGAGACCAGACCAGAGATCATGACTTAACCTGACCCTGGCCCTCCTACAGGCGCACATTTACACCCACATAAATACACTCTACAAGCATTCTTACATACACTCACAATCATCTGCCTTCCACTCCTTGACTGTGTTTTCTCTTTAGAACTCACACTCAAGTCTGTCAGACAAACTCTTTCAAACACACAGAAAAGGCTGTAGACTATATTTTCAGCAGGTACATAAAACAAAAATATATTTTCTCTGGCAATTGTGTAATTATATAAACCAGTGGCACAAACAAGAACAGTGTTGTTCAAATAAAATGACACCAGAGTTTTTTTTTTGTTTTTTTTTTGAGAGGAGCCCCTTCAAACAGCAGATAAAAAGCAGAGTGGCTGACCCTGAGTTTATCCTCATGTTTGAGATAACAGCTCATTTGACCTTGACGGGCCACAGCAAGGACAAAATAAACGTTGAGAGGTTTCTGCAAAAAAAGTGCTCATGGAACATTAAAAAAAAAAAAAAAAAAAAACCCGCACACACTCAAGTTTGGAAATTTGACTTCCAGAAAGTATGGGGCAAAGTTTGTTTTCAAAGGTAAAAGCAAAAGTCAAATATTTTGAGTCATTTTCACGTCGCAAAAAAGATGAGAAATGTGAGATGAATTTCATTTTCTGCGCCTCTAAGTCTGTTTCAGACTGAAGGATGAGGCGCTTCCTGTCACTATTTCATACTCAAATTGTTTGATCATGATTGGTTCATTTTGGTCAGCGCCCTGTCAGATAGATACATGATCTTTCCAGTGCTTTTTTTATGCGACTGGGTGTTTTCCTTAAACTGTAGGTAATCGAAGCTCTGATGTGCCTGATTTCCACTAAGTGACTTTTTTTTTTTTATCAGTATCGTGAATGTAAAAGGCACAGGTGAACAAGCGCGAGGAGACATGAGCTCACCTGAGCGCATTCCTGAGAGGGCGCAGTGACCGGGCAGCGACGAGGCTGTTAAATATTCTCACGTGTAGATAAGATCAGATAAGATTACATTTAAGACATATCTTACGTGATTGCTGTCATTATGGTTTGTGTGTGATAACTTCCAAAGATGATCAGCAATTTATCAAGGTGCTTCGGGCAATATGGGGCAATAACACACCTCAGAAAACTTATTAAGCACAGACCAAAAAATATATATTTTTAGAGAGCAAACGAATTGTCTCTAATTCCTCAAACCTTCACATCTGATGTGGAACCTGAGCGCTGTAAATTAATTTTAAAAAAGACCAGTCTCCCTGGTGACGCTGTTTCAATTCAGAGTACAGTCATATGATTGAAGCCCCTTGAGATAAACTCCACTGATTTTGGAAATATTACCAAACAGATTCAGGTGATATTATATCGAGGTGTGATCAGACCACGACGGCAAGCTGACTCAGAGGCTTTTTTTAAAAGATTATCTCTGTCTTGACGCAGACTCCAGGCGTCCTTCCCGCCAGTACAAACAGAAAATGATACATAATTTGTATTTTGGGTACCTGGTGGGTAAACAGAGCTGACAGTGAAAACCTGAAAGCTCCAAAATTTGCTCCATAATGCTGTCAGCCCTCCGTGCTTTTGAATATGGATTTCGATTCTTTGAGATGTTTTCAAAGACAAAATAATGTTTGAGGAAACGACAGCTTCGTGGTGCCATTTTATCAAAAGCTCGTTTGTCTGTCACAAACTTAAATTCCCCCTCTCTCTCTCTCTCTCTCTCTCTCTCTCTCTCTCTCTCACACACACACACACACACACACACACACACACACACACACACACTCACACTCACACACGCACACACACTGTCTGTCTCTCTCTCTCTGTCTCTCTCTTTCCTTTCATGCTGTTGCTAGGGAAGCAGGGCGTATGCGCTCCCTGGCCGCGGCTGAAGGGCACAGGAAAAAAACAGGAATAGGGCGAAAATACGAAGCTTTAATCGAGTATGTCTGGAGCCCAGGGAGTCTTGACCCCCCCCTGCACCTATTTCAAGGCTCAAACTCGGGAATTAATGAGTGTAAAATGTGATATTTCGGCGCTTTCTCTCCATTACCTTATATGGCAGGGCAGAGATATATCGTGCCTGTATTCAATAGGCTGGCCGCTGCCGCTCTGCTTGGAGGCTTCGTTTTAACCCTTGTGCTGCTGAATTATTTTTGGAGCGCGGGCAACCGTCGGTGTTTTGGCTTCTTTAACTGTTTCTTTGCGCTATTAATGCAGCACATTCAAACGAATTGCACCGTTTTGATGACAATCATGTGCACAAATCACAATTCAAGCACATAAACAGGTATTTTCACGCACGGACGCGCGGTTTTTCTCTCATGTTTCTAATTAAGTCCCCATAAATTAGGCGAGTTAATGCGGGTGACATTTACAGCACAGAGAACATACTCACTGGCGATGTGGTTTATGTTGCTGGATTTAAATTGTCACGTTGCTTGATAGACGTGCTCCTAATAGTACAACCACTCACAGGCTGTTATAATGATTTCAGAGGTCAGCAAGCTGAGAGCTCTGGCAGCGATTGCTACCATTATAAAGTTGCCACAGGTAGACTGAGGGGTGCACAGTAACCCTCTGCTATGTGGCAGTTGAGCCCAGAGGACATGGCACTTGTTTGACGATCACAGAGTGTGTGACCTATATTTGCACGGCGCTGTTAGCAGATCGAACTGTGAGCCTCCGTCTGCTCATCTACAACTGTGCTGCTTTTAGGGCATCGGAAATAAAAAAGGGAACTTGTTTTTCATCAGTGTGTCAGCCTCAGTTACAGTGATAAAGAGAAGCTTTGGTGGCGCAGGACTGTCACTTTTAACGCCCTTTGTTAAGCCTGCTGTGATACTTCTTCTGATAAAACTGTTGTGACCGCTGTGGAGGCAGCTTTTGAAGAAAGGTGCAGCGCTGACAAAACTGGGAATTTCAGCTCCCTAAGGTGAACATTTGCACCATTAAAAAAAGCATTTTAAACCCCTTGTTCGGTCATGTGAATTTACTGGCATCTATTGTAAATGCACATACTATTGTTTACATCCACACATCATCTGTAGTTGAATAAACTCAATCGTTCTGAGTGTTTTTTTTTTCTCATGCACAGCACATTAAACGGTGGAGGAGGAGGGAGTCCCAGCAGTCTTGTTGTCGAATCAAACGATATAACTGCACAAGTGGATTTTATTCACGTGTTGTGACAGTAACGTAGCGATTGATTTGAATTTCCAGATATCCCTCCTGCAGTCCAGCACTCACGGGATAAACCCCAACCTCTGTGCAAGGTCTCCACCTCCCCCCCTCCCCTCTTTGACGTCATACACCGAGCTGGAGCTATTGCACGGAAAGAGCTGCTCGCAGCCGCACTACTGTGAATATCTCTATGCTCATTGCCAGGACTGTCGAGTGTGCAAAGGAGGGAGAGAGAGAGAGCGACACAGAGAGAGAGAGGGAGAGAGACAGAGAGAGCGAGGAGGAGAGGTGGAGGGAATACAGTTGGGTTTGGATACAACTGGAAAACTACCAAGCGCGCACAGCACGCACCGAGCGGAAGGCACATCGACGGTGCGTAGCCAACATCTCACCTACTCCCCGTCCGCTGCGATCGGATCCAGGCGAGAATGGAGCTCCCTGCCGCCGGAGAGCACGTCTTTGCGGTGGAGGGCATCGAAAAGAAGCGCATCCGCAAGGTAACAGAGAGAGGAGCGTGTGTGCAAAAGCGCTCCGGACGTTGAAATATTGCGTTTGACATGAGCCTAACCAATATATATATATCATTTTTTTTCTTCTCCTTCTCCACCATCACAGGGCAAAATAGAGTACCTGGTCAAGTGGCGAGGCTGGTCTCCCAAGTAAGTCTCAATGCAGCCTTGTCTGAGATACATCCGATCATTTCATTGCAACATTTTTTGCAACAAAATCAAATGTTGTTGTTTCAAAAAATGGCATTCATCAAAGGCGTGCACGCACAGTGTGTGGTTGTTTGTTCAAGAGTGTGTGTGTGTGTGTGTGAGTGTGTATATACGTGTGTGTGTGTGTGTGTGTGTGTGTGTGTGTGTGTGTGTGTGTGTGTGTGTGTGTGTGTGTGTGTGTGTGTGTGTGTGTGTGTGTGTGTGTGTAAGCTGGGAGAGCGCGGTTGGTATGTGTTTCAGTGTATCCGCGGATGCCTTCACTAATTTATGCGAGGGAAGGGGGTAGGCACAGCCATGTAATCCCGTTTTAATTATTTCTGCTCTGCCAGCGAATTTACGAGACAGTGGTGCTAAAATGGCCGACTGTATGTTGGTGCTGGAGGACCGTTTGGAGACACATAATGTTTGATACATACATATTTACATATACGCATAGCCTATATATATATATATATAGGCCTATATATATTTGGGCTGTGCAGTTGGATGTCCTCTTGGTTCATTTGTTGTAGACTAATAGCTAGCTGTCATTAATGGTTTTGCAAATTCAATAATCATGAAAGAAAATAAATAAATAAATAAATCTGTTATCATATCATGGCTTTAAATTTGAGGCTTTACCTGTCTACTTCGACTGCACAGTAATGGTGAAGATGTGGGAATGTGTGTGTGTGCGTGTGTGTGTGTGTGTGTGTGTGTGAGAGAGAGAGAGAGAGAGAGAGAGAGAGAGAGAGAGAGAGAGAGAGAGAGAGAGGCCTGTGTGTCAGTTAGAAAAAGGCAGTTTTGCACGTGACAGCTCTCTGACAGTTGTTTGCTCCTCTCTGCAGATACAACACATGGGAACCAGAGGAAAACATCCTTGACCCGCGCCTCCTCGTCGCGTTTCAACACAGGTGAGAGAGATGTGGACTTCGGACAAGGCCGCGCAGCCTCCAGTTCAGCAATGACCATATATGGGCATGGGAGGAGGGGCGCCCCAGTAACTCTATCACTGATCCCCCCTCCCCTTCTCATAGGACTGTCTCCTGGGGAAGAGGCTGGGGATGTGGTAGTGAGAATTCCTAATTCATGCTAATGATAGATCGGATATGCGCAAATATGCGTGGATGTAGCTTATGTTAAAAGGCATAAATTGTAACAAATTATCATCTTGTTACGTGGTTTTGCATTAGGAATCAGAGGGCTGAACGCATGCAATGACCTCAATAGGCTACACATAGAAATTTAGGCACATAATGGACCAATGCAAATGGAAAAGTATTCATGTGGATCAAACTACAATGATTTGTTTGTAATCACATGCGTACAGTTCGGTTTCTTTGAAACCATAAGGCCTGAGCAGGACAGGTGCTAATTCAGCAGCTGAGCTTCACTAGAGCAGAGCTCCACTGTTTTCAGTTGGGGTGCAGGACACAAGCATGGCGGTTTGTTGTGGTTTCCATGTGAGGAGGCCGAGCTGATGCCTGATGGAATTCTCATCACTACCAGTGTGAGATGTTCAAACAGACTGAGCTGTGCTGTGTTACTTCTGCAGGCTGAGAAAACCATTCAACAATACTAGATTTGTGACATCGCATGCACATACCTCTAGCGTTTTCTTTTGCTATGTAATGTTGTGGAAACAGAATATCTTACCATTTGACTGGCAACCTGTTTTCAATCTTGGGTCAACAGCAGACTTAATAGAGGCCTGTAAAATAATGACAAATACATAAATGTCAATCTCAGGGGTTGAGATGTTAATGAATACAAATGCTGCTGTCCCTTTAGCCCTGCGGTGTGTGCACGACAACATCTTGTCTGGATTGTTGGACCCATGAGGCCTGTGAGATACACTCTCTCTGTAGGCCACTAGGCCTAAAGACATGATGGCTGGGGAAAGGAATTCGCATTTCTGAAAAGGCTAATTGACACGCAGTGCTCTCCAGCGTTTCCAGTGTACGCTCTCATATTCCCCTGCAGCCTGCTTGCCCGCCTGGCTCTGTGTGTGTGTGTGTGTGTGTGTATATGTGTGTATTTGGCTCTGTGCTGATGGTCATGGAGCGCTGCCTCTGCGCTGTGTGTGTGGATTCCTCTCTGCTCCCAGAGGATGGGGGAGGGGATCCAACAAGGGAGGCTGTAATTGCCAAATCTTCTGTGAATAGGGGTCACCCCGTTGGACGCTGTTTGAAATCGCACACATTATAGCATTAAAATGTGGACTGTTTATTGTGGCAATTTTCTGGCAGCTCTGACAGTTTGAACATCTGTAGCAAGAGGCCAACAATAGGCTGGGTTTACACAGGCCTGGTGGAGTCTGCGTGCAGCCGGCCTTCGCCCACCGCTGGTTATTTATGAGCCAATGATGAGTCAAGGTTTATATCAGGGAGCAATATTTCACAGACAGCCCTGTGCTTTGGTCTGGTCCACTATAATCCTCACTACTCCCTCAATAAAAGTAGTTCCAAGAAATGTTTGTTATTAGTCTGATAAAATTCATCACCCTGCAATTTCAGAGTGTAGACGTCGTGCTGCACAAGACACATGGTGTGCAAGCTTTCAACAGCGGCATGCATCCCAGAAGTAGCCTACTCCACAACGTTGCATTTATCCCATTTCATCCGTACTTCATGACCCCAATTAGAGTTTGAATGTAGGAAGAGGAAGGGTGTGCTGCAGGAGGGAGGATGTTTGAAAGACAAGGAGAGATTCTGCCTGCTGTAGCCGTAATTAAATTTCTCCAGGATAATGAGAATATGGAATGGGCCGATTACCATGGAGAGCTATGCAAATAAGGACCATAATGCTTTGCAGCGGGTCACATGTGGGCATTCATTAGTCCTCCAAATCAAAATTCCACTTTTGACCTTGAATAGGTAAAAGAAAATGAATGAATCCTCCAAATGTCAAACCTGTAATTTTCCAAGTGATATAATTAGATTTTTAATGTAGTAAGCTGAAACATTGTCTGACAAATGAGGTGTTGTATCTAGAAGGTAAATATGGTGCAAGAAAATGTAATTATCTTTTGTTTTCACAGAGAGAGACAGGAGCAGCTGATGGGATATCGCAAACGGGGACCAAAACCAAAACATCTTTTACTGCAGGTAATTATCATCTTTGTTACCAGCGTGATAGTTTCTGTGGAAACGTCGCGCTTTTCAAATCCTTGCGGTAAGTTTCTCTCAATGAGAAGCCAATAGGAGGGGGGTTCTGTCAAGTGTGTTAGAGCGGCTGTCATTCAGTACGTTGTTATTTATAGACTTCTTTGAGTGAGAGATGGGGGTAAAAGGCTAAGAGAGGATGGGGTTTTACAGCTACTCATCATGAAACCAGGTTTGTTGCCTGAGGTTACATAAGCATTGCCTGAGTGCACTCATTCAATCTGCATGTTCATTATTTCTTTACGCTAAATAGCGTTGTACGCAAAACACAATATTTTTAAAGGGAGCTTGATATTCTAGATGAGTTTCTTTTGCACCAAGTGAATCAGTATGACGAGAATGTTGTCTTTCATTTCCCCGTTTACAAATGTTTCCCAGGACAAAAATAGATGGCTGAAAGTAACACTCTGTCATGCTTTGACTCTCTCGGATCAGGTCTTTACAGAGCCATATTCTGAGCCAAATGTGATTATATATTTTGAGAAAGTCGGACCTGATTGCTATGCAGTGTCACTCCTTAAGAGGCATACCACTCTGCCAGAGTCACACGTGGCCAGCAATCAGGGATAAAGCGTGACATGTCTGGTGGCACTTGTCTGACCTAAGGTCACAGCCAAAGCATCTTGAGCGTTCCGCTGCAGTGCCCCTCTGACGGCCCGAGGGGTCAGTCTGTACAGGAGGAGGGGGAGGGGACAAGATGGTGGGAGGGGGCTCATATGCTGGATCCTGCTAGTTTATTTCAGTTTCTAACAGACGTAAACTTTAATTTTATCTGCGTTTTAGCGTACAGGACAGGTTTGTATATTGTACTGTTCCACCTATGAAAACAGTTGTATAATGTCTTCTGTGAGTCTGGAAGAGCTATGTCTAGTCTGAGAAAATAACTCTGATGACAGCTCAGCTTTGGCTTGGAGATGACACATTTATATCAGGCCGCCTGTGTTACAAATTGGGGGTATAGAGTTTGAAAGACATGGGCAGGAAGGGTCAAACAAGTTAATGCCAGTGGTTGCATTATGGGAATCGTAGGATCTGGTCCTTTTGGAGCTTGATATATGTACTAGTGACTGAAAATCAGGATATCTCAGCAACTGTTTCTTTGATGTTTCACAATTTTTTTAATGTGTCCCTATTGTATGAACTGCAATACTAAATCACTGGAGTACCCCTTCAAGGCACTCTATTATTTTAGCTGTGTTTTTATTTACATTACATTTACATATTTTGAGGGTTTTGATGAAGATGGGTGAAATGTTAAACTTTGTGTCTTGTCACTTCTTCAAGGTTCCCTCATTTGCCCGGAGATCCAGTATCCCTGCAGGTTTTGAGGAGACATGTCAGGATGCAGAAGGTGGCCTCAAGTCAGATCCTGTCCAAGTCCAGCGCTCCCAGCCTCAGCAGTATCAGCTGAACAGCAAGAAGCACCATCAGTACCAGCCCAGCAGCCAGGAGGTTCCTGCTGACCAGCTAACCAACGGCAAAAAGAAGTTCATCTACCAGCTAAACAGCAAGAAGCACCACCACTACGAGCCTGACCCGAATATGTTTGATACACAGGCCTCCAGGCTCAAAGAGGTGGTCAAAGTTCAGGAATCAGCCTGTAAACCAGCAAATCCTGGCTGGAACTTACCACTGGCACTGCAGCAGAAATGGGTTCGTGACAAAGACACAGGATGCTTGAGCAAAGTCAAAGAGTTGGCAGTGGAGGTGAGGAAACCAGCTGTTAAAGAGGCTGAGAGCGAACATGCCCTTAAACCCAATCCTAAAGATGCAACACTGCCTAGCGCTATTAGCAGCAAAATGAAGATAATCAAGAACAAAAACAAGAACGGACGCATTGTCATTGTCATGAGCAAATATATGGATAGTAACAAGGTTCATGGAGCGAAGGGTAAACACGGGGAATCATCAAGCGAAGACAAACCACAAAACACCAAACCATCAGAGAACAATCCAGCACACAGAACCAAAATGGCGGAGCACCCGGAGAATGGTATCCCCAAAGAGATCTGTAACGGCAGCTCGCTTCCTGCCGCAGAACATCCTATAAAGTGTTCCCCAAAGGACAGACATTTCTCCAAACCATCGCCAAGCACAGCAGAGGAATACAACACTGAGGTAGCTCGGGGTCAGGCTGATTTGCCGGATGATCTCCCGCTACAGCTGACTGCTAGCTCACCCCTGATGTCCTGGGCTGTTGACACCAACATCCCGACCCCTACAGCCGTCGACCAGATCAGGATCCCTTCCTTTCCCAACGACCGCAAGCGCAAGCTCTCAGAACCTGTGGAGGATAGGAGTGTTTCTAAAACCTACCTGACCTCCAGAAGCTTCAGTGTGCCCAGCACAGTAGTCACGCCACCTCAGGACAAACCCATGGACCTCCAGTGTAGTGGCCGGCGTGCCAGCAGTGCATGCACCTATGAGGTTATGGACCCTGGTAGCCAAGAAGAGCCGATGGATCTGAGCTGCCCAAAGACTAAGAGGCAGGTGGAGCCAGAAATACAGCCAGAGCCGGCACCAGAGCCTGAGCCTGCTGTCAGAGATACTCCTCCCATTACAGAGGACACACAGAAATCAACAGAGAAATCTAAAGAAGCACCTGTTAAAAAAATCTCCCCTTTTATGGGAAATATCATCATCACCGATATCACAACAAACAGTCTTACCGTCACCTTCAAGGAATATGTTTCTTTCTAAGGAACTCTTTGTAAAAAAAATGGGACTACCAGTGACCAATTGGATGATCCTGTCAATATGTGCATATGTAAAAACATCAGAATTTTGTATATACGGAAATTTATAATTTATCATTCAAATTCAATATGTTTCTTATAATGTTTTATACTGTAACTCCTCTGTGACGTTGTAGCCAAGAAAGTGCCCTCGAGGATTTGAGTGAATGCATTCATGTGGATGTATTCCACACACACACAAAAAAAAAAAAATCAGTTTATTTGTCATATGGAGCTTAATGGGATACTTTTTGCTGTTGTTTCATACCTGTACCAAACTTATAACCTGAGATGTATGAAGGTTTATACGTATTTTGTATGAATAATATCTCTTATTTTGGTCCTGATAGAAGGTAGAGAGAAACTTGTTGACTCTATGGTGATCTAAGATCAAATTGAAAGCACTTACATTTTTATATGTTAATTTGTGTCATGTACCTTCGTTAATGGAGATGGTCTCTTTAAGTCTTATTTCAATTTTTTTTTTTTTATTTTACTCCAGACATGTACACTCAGTCTGACTTGGCATATTTTGTTACATGCTTTGTTTATGGAGAAAAATAATGAGCCATGACATGCAAATTTAAAAAGCAGGTGTGTCTGAACAGAGTGTAAACACAGTAGTGACAACTGTGGGATGCGCTCGGCTATGTCAAAAACCTTAAGCAACGTCTCAGCTTTTTATGTTGTCTTTGGGGGTTTTTTTTTCTTGCCGTTGAGATGCAGAAAAAGTCATCAGTGGATCTGACATTACAATCCAGTCTGTTACGATACTGCACACTTCCTCTTAAGCAAACATTTGTGGAACAAAATCTGACATGTATTTTCTCAAAGGTCAAACCCATTAAGAAAATGATGTCATTTATCAAACATGTGACTTCCCGTGTAGATGACGTATTGATTATTACCATAATAAGGTTGTGGTTTATTACCTTGTTGACCTCACATATTGCTGGAGTTACTTTAAAATATCTGCTAGTCTTGTTAGGATTCTCCTAATGTTACACAGATTAACAATATTCATCTCATTTTGCTATGGAACCTCATCATGTGGTCTGAAGAATACACATGACTGCTATGTTTTAGAAGAAGCTGCCAGAGTCATTGACGAGTATGTTATAGTTACAGATTCAATGTGAGTTGCTGTTACATGCAATCCAGTGAGTGCAAGCTGTTTTGATTATGCTGCTGAAAATTCAAATGTCAAAGCTGTTGGCTGTAACCTACATTTGAGTCCAAATTGCCTTCTACGCACAGTAAATGCAAAACCAGTAAGAATGCTAAAGTGCAAGAATAATAAAAAATGAAGAGTGCATATTTATTGACATTTAATTTGTTTTTCAAAACCATTACAAGATGTTCTCTGTATCCGAAGCTACAAGTGATTCCATAGAACAGGTTGTCCTCTACTTTTTGTTTTCGTCTCTTTTGCTAACTCTCTCTCTTGCACTTGGTTCAAAGTCAAAATGATTGTTATAAAGTATGTTCTACCAGGAGCTGGTTGACTTATTTCTGTTGGCACAGCGTATTGGATGGTATGTTTCACAATAAAGAAAGAGATTTGACCTCTGATATTTTGCTGCGTTGACACTAGGTGGGAGCAAACTGGGCGTTTCGTGTGTTGACATATTGAATTTCTTCTTCATGTTTTTTTTTTTTTTTTGTTCTAGCTCTCCAGTAAAAGATTTATGTATCATTGTTTGCGTTCTGCAGTTCCTCTGAAGCCTCTCTGCCCATGGAGAGGAAGAATGGAACATTAAGCACTAGAAACACTAACTTGGTTGTGAACCATGAATAGCAAAACAGATCGTGTTGCATAATCACAAACGATCCTGCACAAAGGGCCCTCTGTATTGCGTAACTCCACCGGCCACTTGTATTATTAAAACTTTACCCATGCATTATTTTTCTATTGCAGCTCAACCCCAAGCAGGAATGTAAACACACAACATGACTATAGAGGAGGACATGGGGAGGTTATTATGTAATTGTTCGATTGTAAAGGGAAGAAAGGCCTCATGGAGGGTAGGTAGGCTATTTGACTGTGTGTATGTGTGTGTGCAGTGCAGTGCAGTGTAGCAGGGAGGTGCATCAATTATATGACATTTAAACATAATGTGTCTGCAGAAGGCTTTGTGGCAGCACAAAGAGTGAGCTCTGGTGTTTTCTCTCTGCAGCCCTGTGTCGCCAAGACACAGTAGTTCCCCCTACAATATTTTCATACAGTATAATTTAAATAGATAAGTCCAGACATACAAAACTACAGATACACATGCAAAGCTGCAAACACACATTTGTACACCGCTCACAATTTTTATGAATGAGCTCCAAATACTGACCTTTCATGACATTGCCGAATGCTATGGGAGTCCTAGGGTCTTTAAGGGGGATCACTGCAGGCCTGTAGCCAGAACTCTGAAATGAAAGTGCAGGCAGATGTTGTTTCGCTGTTACAGTGGAATCTCAGGCTGAGAAAAGAGGTGAAGTCTTGAATGTTTCGAATGACAGAAATACCCTGGAATGTGTGTGTGCGCGGTGTCTTCTCTAGTTTCGTCCTGGGAGTTGCTCATCAAAGAATGTTCAGACAAAAACAAAGCAACCTTTAAAAAAAAGACAGAAAGAAACATGGAACATCTGTCTTTAGAGAAGTGTTTGATGCAAAGGATGCTTTGGGTCATTAAATTACAGAAATGATTGCAGCTCTTTTTTGTGTCCATTCCAGTTTAGTCAGATGAATTGTAATCAAACAAAAGAAGCCATACTGAAGTTTCTAAGTATTTTCACCTTATTTTCTAATGAATAAATCTGCTCTCTGAACTCCCTGTGATTTTGACATTATAGTCCATTTCTAACAGAAATTGTCTCCGTGGTTTCTGGCTCTAAAGTGCATAAAACCAACATTAGCACCAAAGAAAATCATTTTCAAATCTCTTATTGTGACCATAATTGTAACACCCAAATCTCACATCTGTTTAGATCTCATGTATCAGGGATTTGTCAGTACTGGGCTGCAATCTCACAAGATTTACCTGCACGTTTGACTCATTCTCGACCTCTTTCACATTTTTCACCCGTAAAGCCATTTCTCTCCTCTGTTGTCTCTGGGAGTCTGTGGTGGAATACGCCCCCGTATAACTGAAATTGGAAAATTAACGTCAGTTTATTAACTTCAATTTCGACTAAGGCTGCGACGGGCCTCTTCATAATCGGAACGACTTTTTAAAATGAAGAATAAGTAATATTTCCTGTGTCATTTGGTCTTTATGAGCTACTGAGATCCGATAAGTGCAAAATAAAATATGTAACAACCAATCGATTAATTCAAACAGACCCAGAGGGGACGTGTCTAAAAGTGGCAGCATGACACAGCACATTTTCGAGCTCAGTTTGTATGAGTTGATATGAGCGGAACTTCAAAACCCATGAACACATAGCTCGCATGTCTCTCTGTCTCTCTCTCTCTTACTGTGTGTGTGTGTGTGCATATGTGTGAAGGCTATCTCTATAGGCCTCTCTTTTGAACCAACTGGGCTGTGAGTGTGAGTCAGTCATGCATCAGTAGGAAACTGAAACATCGTTGAGCAAGGGAACATATTTATAGACCAAGTGTGATGTTTCACATTCCCCCTTTATCATCGTTACCCCTCAGCAGCCTGCACAGTGAAGCCGCGCAGGATCATCATGGCTAATTTAAAGCCCTGTGTGTGTGTGTGTGTGTGTGTGTGTGTGTGTGTGTGTGTGTGTGTGTGTGTGTGTGTGTGTGTGTGTGTGTGTGACCCTGCGGAGGCCTCAGAAAATCTAATAAATTAATAGGCTAAGGATAGAAATGGAAGGCTCTTTGTTAATTAAGGCGTCGTGTTCTTCCTGTTCCGGATTTTCTTTCCAAATATTTAATGAAACAGCAGAGTGGATCTCTCGTTTCTTTGACGTGAGATTGTATTTTTATCTAGAAAGAATGTTAAAGAAAATAGATCTAACCTAAAAACCCCAAATAGTCACAGCGGACTATGAGAGTTGTGAGTCTGTGTTGTGGTCGGGTGTGTATCAGCCTTCTAATTCAAAGCATGCGCTGAAATATGGCAAAGCTGCAGGTTGCAGAGCCACACGGACTTCGCAGTTTCTCGCCTGTGGTTTTTTGTGTGTCTGGTGCCTGAGCCACCTTCAGCAGAAAATGTCGCCCGGTGTAAAGTAGGACAGTGAAGAGCGCGCTGTGTGCAGCAGTTGCCCAGAAACCAGAGAGCCAATACTGTTCTCACAGAGCCAGCTCTGTTTATTCATGTACGGCTGTCGCCATTGCGGCTCCTGCAGACTCACTTTTCATCGACTCACAGCCAAATATGGAGAGAACCGCAGCAGCAACAGCAGCAGCAACAGCAGCAGCAGCAGCAGCAACAGCAGAAGCAGCAGCAGCGTGCAGTGTGAGGCTGCATACTCCCAACAGGCACCATCCGCCTCTCTCCCTCTCTCTCTCCCTCTCCCTCTCCCTCTCTCTCTCTCTCTCTCTCTCTCTCTCTCTCTCTCTCTCTCCCTCTCTCTCTCCCTCTCCCCCCTCTCTTTCCCTCTCTCGTTCCCCCTCTCTCTCCCTCTCTCCACAGAAACCGTGCAGTCTATAGCCATTATAGTACCGTCAGGAAATGTCGGTCTACAAGCTATGACTATCAAAATGGTGGTTCATATTTCGACAGCAGCCACAACGCATCTTTTGTCAGCGGCGCGCCCGCCTTTGTCTGCTCCACAGCAGGGAAATTTTAAACAGGCAGAAAGCAGCAAGAAAAAAAAAAAAAAAAAAAAAAAAAACATCAGCCCATCCTTCATGATCTTTAACGTGATGGGATGGACAGACGGACAAGACGATGCAGCACCTCTCCCCACAGGACAGATAGACTCACTGCCTCCCTGCTGATGTTGTGATTTCATTTTACACATCTGCATTAATGTGATCCCACCTCTAATTAACCTCACAGATAATTACAATTAAATAACAACTCGCCTGTGTGCTTACATGGCTGTCATTTAAGGCAAATGCTGGGTTCGGATTTCATGGGTTCATACAACATGAAGTGAAGCTTTAGATAAAGAAAAAATGTAGAGAAATGCATTTACACGTAATATTTTTCAGTGATGCTAAGATTTCGTGGTAAATCGGTGTCTTATATCCATGACGATTTCTGTTATAGTGTCTCCTTTCAGCTGCAGGCTGCAACGTCTTTTAAAAATCGCCACAGTGGCCAAATAATTAGATGTCGGTGGACGGAGCCAAGAAAGTTTTTGCTGGTGGGTACCTAAGTGATGAGGTGATTTTATACCTACTTCATTCATTTAGTGAATAAACTCTTACAGGCCTGATGCATCTTTGTTCTCATTTTAAATAGAAGAGCTGGAAAAAAAAAACTGCGAGAAAATCAGGGTCAGAATCTGAAAATGAAAATCATATATTTCCAGTTTTGTGCTTCATCGTGTTTAGAACCTTTTTAATGAATGAATTCCTTTTCAATGTGGAATCTGTTTGATCCTCCGTTCAGGACTGTGATAAGGATGATGTGGCGGCGCGGAGGTTTTTTGCAGATACAAAGACTTTGAAGAATAAAATACACTCGTGTTTCTTTCGACAAAACTTAAATGTAGCCTATTATAATTTTATTTTATCTTCATTTATCTTTTAAAATAACAGCTGATGACCGTGGAAAATTGCGCGAGGCCACAGAAAATGACAAGAACTGGAGAGATACAGTAGCTCCGCACTTCAATCATATTCTCCCTTATTATAATGATTAATTTGTGTTATCAATGTTCTCATCATAGTTGTTAAATATATATAATATTACATATAATTATTATATAATTTATTACTATTGTTGTTGTTATTATAATTTTTTTATTTATTACAGAATTCACTTACTGATTATTGCTGAAATATAAATATTTTATGTTCAATTAAATTCGAACTGCTTAGGTTTTTGTATGAAGTAAATAACCATCAGAAATACTACTACTACTACCACTACTACTACTACTACTAATATTAATAATAGGCCTAATAATAATAGTAATAATAATAATAATAACAATAATAATAATTGTTCTATTTAACTCTGTTAATAAAATCACAACAATTAAAAGGTTTAAAAATTATTTCACTACCGCCGTCACTGAGGAATAACTGCAACATTTTTTTTTATATATCTGTGAGACACCAGGCCTTCATAAGCTTATTTATAGAGAAAAAAACACAAAGATTAATTTCAAAGATTAAAGCAAATGAGGCACAAAGCTCCAATGTTGATGGCAGAAATGCAGCAGGATGTCAACATGTTTTGTGGGCTCTTTTACATAAACCAGAGACAATTTGAAATTTTATTTTAGCCAAGAACACACTGGATGAAGTCCAGTGTGCCAGGTGAATCCACTTTTCAGCTTTTTCATTTTTTTTTTAGCAGTTTGCTTTTTCAAAATTTTGAACTCATGAGGACTTAAATTTGCCAAACTTCAAAACAGTCTTTAGTCCATCAGAATAAAAACTGTTACGTGCTCTTCAAGTAAATTCTGCGTGTGTTTGAGCGTTGCAATGAAAATGGATGCGCTCATTCTGCACCACAATTACCGCTCAGGTCATTTAGCTCAACAATAAAGATGTTACAAAAACCACTCTTTTCGTTCGTCATGTGAGTCTATACAGACTGACCATATGCGCCAATAAAATCTCGTCTCTGGAATCCTAATTAAAAAAGGACCGACTCAAGAAATGTTTAAACTGCCTCAGACTTTCTCACTGCTCTCTGACTTTAACACAATACGTGTCTACAGGTCGAACAATGTGCAGACACAATGTGCGTCAAATCTTAATGAAGCCACAATGCGCAACAGTCCAATTACTCATAGTGTTGCCTTACAGCTCGTGCATGCGCTTTCATTTGAGTCTCAGCACTGTGAACCTGGGGCGGGTGCACGTGTAAATTAAACTGAGCTGTCTCAGATTATATTGAACTAATTCTTTTGAATAATCATTCATGAATTTACAGGCCAGTCATAGTGTCTGAGGGTGACTCTCATACCCTGAGATAGTTCTGACTTCACTCATCCTCGAGTAGGACACATGTCTCGCCATTTATGGCTCCTTTTAATACAATTTTCATGCTTAAATATTTATTAGTGAAGACATTAGTTTGAATTTTGTTCTTGAATTATTCGTGTTTACATATAGAGACTCATATTCACAGTTAGTTTGTGTGAAGGGGCTGTGTTTGACATTTCATTCAACCGCCCATTCTTCTCTCTTATTGTTCGTTTGAAAGCCGCTGAAATTAAACTATTATTTCCTTTAGTGTGGACTCTCTGGACCCCCCCTCGGGGACCTCCGGGGTCCGTGGATCCGCTCCGGGAGCCTCTGACTTCGCCTGTTTCTACTGTGCCAGAGATTCCTGTACAGCAGCCAGAGCAGCGGGGCTCCTCCCCTTCACTCAGAAACCCGGAGCACGTAGCAACAACTGAGCCAATGTGCTCCACCACGATCCGTCCTACCGACTGCGGTGCCTGGCAACAGAAAAAGACGTGATGACGTCCTCTTCAGATTGCGTATTATGGGATGTGCGAAATTAAACAACCCGAAGAGGACACGGGGAAGCCAAAAATAATAAAAGGGACAGAAATAAACGGAGGTGCATGGTGAATCATGGAGCTCTCGGCTGTCGGTGAGAGCGTCTTCGCAGCCGAGTCCATCATTAAACGGCGAATCAGACGGGTATTCGCTGCTTTTTTTCCCCCCCACTGGCTGTGTCTCCACACCTATTACGCAACCATTTGTTTGTGCAGCGCCGACAGACAAATTCTCTGATAACCTGAATCTATAACGGATCTCTTTTGCAGGGTCGTTGGGAATATCTCGTGAAATGGAAGGGCTGGTCTCAGAAGTGAGTATATAATATCCGAGGCTGAGAAGGACAGCGCTCCATCCTGGCCGCTCGTACAACTGCACCTCAGACTCTGTCGCTACTCAGCTTGTGGATGTTTTTTTTTTATCCATTTCATCTGCTCTGTGTGCCGTCGTGCAGGCTGCTGTGGGTCCGCTGGCTCGTGTGCGCCAGTCAGGGGGTGAAAATGTCTAAGCTTCAGCCCGCTGTGATGTGTTCAAGTCCACACTATAGCTTTAGCAATGGCTGGGTTCACCATGCGTCACTGTCGGCTACGTAGTCTGTAATTGCAGCGTATACGCAGCAAAATTGCTTTGATAAAAAGTGTTGGGCCGCGTGTGTGCGCGCTTTGGCATGCGATCCAGCTCAATGTATGGTGCCAAATACCTCTCCTCTTTGCTGTTGTGACACAGGTACAGCACTTGGGAGCCGGAGGAAAACATTCTGGATGCACGACTCTTCGCTGCCTTCGAGGAGAGGTGAGGGTTTGACAGCGCAGCAGTAGGCCTCTGTCGGCACAAACGAAATGGCACCGCGCTCTCCGCACCACGAAAATGCCCATATCAATAAGACATGAAGTCTGGATTTTAGTCTTTCAATCTTTACTTTTCGTAAAAGAAGCGATGGCAGGTGTTTGTGGAGCGAAGTGATTCATTTCCAGCTCAAATGGGTGAAAGATGTGTTACAGTTTTTTACATCACAAGCAACTCCTCTCCTTTATTCTGGCACATTTTTCATTTTAATTCAACTAAACTGATTTTTAAATAAAAGCCGCCATGAAAACTGTCTTAATCTCGCCCCAGTGAAAGAGTTTTGCTCTTATGTGAAAAATTAAATATTCCGATTGAACTATAGACTAAATAAGAAATAATTAGTTCATGTGTCGTGACGATTCTTCAAATGATTTTCTTCCACAGGGAGCGCGAAAGGGAGCTGTTCGGGCCGAAAAAGAGGGGACCCAAACCTGAGACATTTCTTCTGAAGGTGAATGTTTTGATCTTGTCGCCTCTCTGAGGTTTGTCAAAAATGACACAGTGATGAATCATTTCCATGATATGACAACGACGGCCTTAGTCATTTTGAAAGTGCTCAGCTGTGTGTTAGAGTCACCTTAAAACTAGGGGAATGACATCTGTAACTCAAAAGAAATTCTCTAATTTACCACATGATTTTGATGAGCTAAGGTTATGTAACAGTACTTGTACATTTTATCAGTTATTATGTATCTGACTTATTTTCCTTTTTATTGCCTTGAATTCTTTAAAAAATAAACAACCTCAGGACGAGGCCTTGAACGTCCAGTGTAACCAAACAGCTGCTTCTCTTAAACCTTTAAATTTCCTCAGGAGGCTTCTGGGAAACCTCCTTTCATAAACGTTATTTGCTCTGTCCTCAGGCCAAAGCCAAAGCCAAAGAAAAGACGTATGAATTTAGAAGAGAGGCTCCCAGAGCGATCCAGGTTTCCTATCCCATCCCGGAGCCTGTCATAACACCAAGGGCCCGGGAGGGTTTACGCGCCGTGGTTCCCACAATCTTCCCACCGAGCGCGGTCAACAGAGGAGAGAGTGTCCACGTCCGACCACCAGAGCCAGAGAGGAGGCCCAGGCCAACCCCTCCAGCTGCCCTGACACTCCAAGAATCCACCGGGTTCCCCAAGAAGAGAGGGCGCAAACCGAAGCTGCAATTACATTATGATCAAGATGATGGCTGCAGCTCAGCAGAGCCGGACACCAAGCGGAGCAGGTTCCTGGAGGAGCCGGTGTCACACGGCCTTTCCAAAATGACCCGACGCCTGCATCACCACGGGGAGACGTCAGACCACAGCCTCCTCCAGCTGACCAAGAGGTTTCAGGAGGAAACCACGATTACACCCAAATCCAGCTGCGAGCAGAGACACTTGGTGGGCGCGGGCTTGTCTTACACCTGCGCGTTCAGCCCAGATAAAGCGCGTAAAAGCGACCACATGGGGCACAGGACTCATTTTCTGAGCAGGGTGTCTGTTCCTCAGGCCGGCAAGCTGAAGCACTCTGCAGAGCACCGGAGCCATCAGTTGAAGCAGTACTGTCTGCCCCGGGAACAACCTGCTGTCATCTCCACAGAGGCCGAGTCCATCCACGATGAAACCGCGCGATCAGCCTCGTCCTGGACCCCCAGTTTCACCAACCTGGACACTGTGACCGTGACAGATGTCACTATGAACTTCATGACAGTCACCATCAGAGAGAGCAGCACGGACAAAGGCTTCTTCAGTGATAAAAGATGAGTATATGTGCTCTGGATGTTTAGGTCAGCGGAGGCTGATATATGCCGAAATCATTGTTTAACAAGCTACTAACTAACAAGCCTACTGTAATACTATATTTTTTCTATGTAACTTTCAAAAGTGTACATATACAAATATTTAATACGCTGCTGAAAAAATAAAAAAAAAAGGAAAGTGACATTGCATCTTTAAAGGGTATTTTTGTTGCGTTTAGTATCACTGCTGTCATCTTAAGATTATCCATCTACATAATGGCATGGCTTTGTCTTTTTTTTTCTTTACTATAAAACTTTGTATCCATGTTATCATAACAACCTTATCCAGCTATCGACTGTGACAGTGTTTCCGCAAGTTACAGACATTTGTTTAAGTTTCATTTCCAGTCATGTCTTTCACGCCACATGAAGGTTCTAAGGTTCATTATTCTGCATTCTTTTTACATTTATCCACATAATGTCAATGTAGATAATGTTTGTAGGCAACAGCATCGTGTCAAATAATCGAAATAATCAATGCCATGCAGAGTAAGTGTTATTTTGAAATCTAAACTCCAACTTCATCATCTTTAAAATATCTAAATAAATTTTGTATGCGTTTCACAAAGTATTGTTGTCTTCAAGTCCTAATCTAAATGCTAAATCTAAATGCTTCATTAGACTGCGGAATATATATTTTTGTAAATGCTTCACAGTTGTTCTGTGTCGGGGGGTCACGTTCAAAAGGAATGTTTGACCATTTATGCTGAGCAAGTTTCTGGTTTGTATGAATTATTCTAATGGTTTGGGGAGGAGGGGGGGGGTGATTAAAAATAGATATTTTCCTGTTGCAGTTTTGTATAAGGAGCTTTCTTGTCACAAGAGACTAATGAAGCACTCATCAGCACGTCTTTACATTACAGAAATGTTTCTGTGACCCCTCAGTTCAGATGAAACGATGAAGGCCTGATCTGAAGTTGAAAGAGTCCTGTAATTAATCTGCTTTGGTATTTATATGATTTTCAATCATTTTAAAGCAGCAATAACAATAATGATAATAATAAAAAAGAAGCTATGAACCACATCTGATGAGAATGAAAATATACCCTGGAGTTGTGGTGCTTCAGTGGGCCTCATTAGAAGAAACCTACAAAGCGTGCTCCTCTCGTTTCATCAACATCATTTTCATCGTCACCACCAGTGTTTATACTGCACGCACTCAAATTCGCGCTCAAAGATGGACTCGAGTTAAGGCCTCAAAGCGAGTCATGGCGGAGTGACTTCATTTTGACAGTTTGAATTCATTCAGCCAAAGACAGTGTAAATGATCATATTACACAATGACATTTGACTGCGGCATGGACATAAAAGCGTGGACAACCACACTGTGAACAGAATTTGAATTTGATTTTGTGATTTTAAAATGATTTCAGATCATGTCAGAGGCCTGGAATTTTCCCATCTGTTTTCTGACGGGAGACAGTTTGCATCACCTTGTGGACTCCTACAGTATATGAAGGATACAGGCTGCACTGTGCCGATAAGAGGCCACTGTCTTCTTTCAGGCACAAAGCCTCCATTCATATGACTTTGCTTTGTCTCTCTGGGACACATGACCCAGTCTGACCATCCGGTACTCCTGTAGCTAAAAGAACTCCGTCTGGTTTCTGGCTCACTACTGGTCATTCTGAATGTGAGAGGACTGACACCAATGCGATATTAAAGCTGCGTATGGGCTCATAGATCTAACTTTGGTGTCGCAGTTTAATGGAAAAACGAAGGTGAAGCAACAATTTTCTAGAGATGTTTGAAGCAAAATCATAAAATCATCGTCTACTACACTGTCAGTGACGACAACGCCGAGAAGTTTTGCGAATATGAGTGTCTTTTCAAATCGGTGATGACAAACGTGATTATATTCCAGATCTCGTCCTGACTTTGAGATTTAGTGACTTGAGCAATAAACAGCTTCTTTTTTTTTCCTGCAGCTGAGACAACATCTGGCCGATCTCTCCATATGAGTGTAATTTTACTCAACGACATAGTTTACCCATCAAAAACCACAACCCTTTCATCTGATGCTGCCTCGGGGCCTGTACACAAACCCCGAGAGAAGCTGCAGCCATCAGCCCTCACAGTGGCCTGCACGGTTCCGCTCCACAGACGTTACCTCCACAAGATGTCGCCACCAGCAAAACCTTGAAACGGTGCCAATTTTTTTTTTTTTTTTTTTTGCACAAAGACCCTGCAGGTTAAAATGAAGTGAACCTACTCATCCTCAGTGTATTAATCATTGATGAAAGCTGGTGACGCATTCCAGTTTGTATTCATCTACATTATTAGCGGCTGTTGAGACACAGCTTCCCCCTGCTGTGGGTTTCTTCGGGGCTGGAAAAGCCTCCCAGCAGACTACGTTGGATTTTGCCTTCCAGATGTGAGGGGACTGTGCGCTGCGCCATCCCGCCACTAGATGAAGCCCAAACACAGAAGCACACGGACTTTTTATTTTTAATTCCATATTCTCTTTTTTTTAATCTCCTCTTTTTTTAGTTATAGCCTTTCTGAAACGACCTCATCAGGATCAGCTGCTCTGATACTCAGTGATATAGACTCAGACTAATTTTTGTTTCGTTTACTTTTGCAAATTTAAATGAAGGATAAAAAAACACGGTTTAAGAGTATTAAAAATTTTGGCTAAGTACAGCCTAACTAATAACTTTGGTGGTATAATAAACTGCCGAGAGACTTTTAAAGCGGGTGAATTATTGTGCAAACAGGCGCACTGATGTTAACAGATGGCTGAAGGCTTTCAACATCATTGTCTCTTTATAGAGGAAAGACAAAGACCTGTAGAGGCCAGCAGTCCCCAACAACTGGATCAGCTCTAATTAGAGAATGTGAGAGAACGAGAGAGAGAGAGGGAGAGAGAGAGAGAGAGCGCGCGAGAGAGAGGATATAGTGAAGCTGAACCACACAAGGTGCAGCAGAGCGCTTGTAGCGACTGTCGATATCTCCCAGACAAACTTGTTTTTTGTAGCCATGCGCTTCCGTCCACTTCTGTCTGCGTTTTTATCTCTGTGTGGGTGAGATGTTGCCAAATGCGACCGTTCTGCTGTGTTTTCTGGCTCTTCAGTTACGGCACTGTGCGGCTGATCTGTGCAGCTGGACTGGAAGGTGAGGGGACTTTTCTATTTTTTTTATTTTTATTTTTATTTTTGTGCAGGACAGGTTCAGGCACTTTGAAACCGAGAAAAGAAATGGGAAAATAAACAGCATTTTGAAGCGCATATTGACTATTTGAAAGGCGCAGCAGCGATAGCAATAACGTGACATTTATAAAGGATTTGAAGTTGTGGCTAATGACTTTATTAATCATTTTCAAGACACCAGTATGAACAAACGCGTGGGTTGCTGTAGGTTGTGAAATCTCCCTTTGACTGTTCCATTTATCAACAACATATTAACACAGGTCTTGAAGGATTAAACCCCTTTATCAGTGACTTATTAACATGTATAACTGCCGACCTGCTACCCTATTAGAACGTGAGAAATTCGTCTTCGTTTAATAATGGATTACCAACATTTATAACTGCATTATTAGCGAATAAAAAGGATTCGCATTATTCATTTGGATTGGTTTTACATCCTAAAATCTGCTTTAATCAGTGGATTATAACTGATCTATAATTGATTAATAGATTAAGCAATTTCAATGTAATGTAACAATGTCACACAGCAGAAATGTAAATATTGTTGAATTACTATCATACGTTTTTACCGCAAAATCCAGCGGTTTTGCAGCTGCTGTGGACTCCAGAATCGTGCTCCAGGTGCGGCTGCGCTGTACAGAGGGCTCGGTGAGGTGGGTCTACCCGGGCCAGGCTGTCAGAGTGGTTCTGGAGCCCAACCTGTCCTCCAACCTGCGCACCACCGTCTGCATCAAACCATCTCCCTCTTTCCGCGGAGCCAGCGTGTTCATCGAACGGGCCGGAGAGCTGGAGCTGCTGGTGACTGATGGCGAGCGGCCGCGGCAGGTGTTCTGTTTCCGGGCAGATGGACCGCACAGGCCCGCTCTCTACCTCCAAGCCAGCCCGCAGAGGGAAGGACACTGGAGCAGACGCACGATGGGCTTTAGATATGAGCTGTTGGGCAACAGGAGTGCTGTGCCCGACTTGGGCCACAGCGGGCTGCAGAGTGAGTCCACTTTCTCGGAATCTGGTAGCCTATGAAGACATGTTCTAAATAGATGCATCAATACATTTGATATGAGTGTGAGAAAACGCAATTTATAGAGTGTTTAGTAGACTTTAAGTTATAGCCTAACTAGAAGGACACGCAAAGAGTGAAGACCACCAAAGCCAATGTCAAACAACATACACCAGACTTCACAGAAAAAAAAATCTAATTCAGAGTAAATGCTCTGTGTATGACCCAAAAATTAATGCGTTCTTCCCTGACCCATTCCCCACCCCTCCACCAAGTTCAGTGCAGATCGGTTCAGTAGCCTTACTTTTTGCCTGCAAACAAACACACAGGGGTGAAAACATCTTGGCGGAGGTTACTGATGACTTTATTCATGTATAAGACATAATTTACTCAAGATTAATAGTTAATTTATAAGCGGTAGTGGAAGAAGTACTCAGATCCTTTACTCAAGTAAAAGTACAAATTCTTAACCTGAACAGTAACTACAGCTGACAGATAAATAGTCTATAGCGCAATTATATCTGTAACAAAAAAGTGGAGTAGAAGTATAAAGTGAAATAAAATTGGAAACACTCAAATGATGTACTTAAGTAGGCAACAGTCACTTGCCTCGTCTTCTTATAAGCCATTAATAAGACCAATATCTAGGTTGTCAGGATGTGAAAAAATCCCTTTAATTGAACCATATCAACCTCTTACCTTCTGGGAAAAGGCTTCAGAAGATCTGGACCAAAATCAATTTATCATCAATTCATTAAGCATTTATTACAGAACAATCACCATTTATAAAGTTTATAACTTCGTTATTACAAAATAGAAAGGCCAAACATCAACAAAAAGAGAGATTTCACAGCCTGGCAACCCAAAATTTGTTCTTAGTAATGGCTCACAACTGATCTTAAAGCATCAGAAAACAATTAATGAACTATTTATAAAATCAGTAGTTACCCTTTATAAAAGGTGCCTTAATAAATAAGTGGCACCAAAAACTCTAATCATCAGCCAGTGACCATTTGCTGGTGGTTCAAATTACTGATGTGAGGGACTTTAACTGACCAATCCTAATTCCTAGTTTAGAAAAAGTAGTGGTTATTTAATTACAGACCCCAATTTTGCCGACTGGAGTGTGCAGCTGCTGGTCAGTCTCGTGTTTTGTCCGGCTGTCTGGTTTCCATCGACAGACAAAGCAGAGAGGACAGAGCAGACCACAGGGCGGCTGGGGGGCACGTAACCAAGGGGCCTGAATTGAGACGGCAAATACTTTGCAGATTCCACAAATGCCTTATCATTGTGCATGTGTGTTTATTAGCATTTATCCATGTGTGAGGGCCTGTCCCAGAGTGGTGATGTCATTCTGTGTCCATAATAGACAGCTGCTGGTTTATCTTTTCTGCATTACCAATCTGGCAGAGTGTTTGACTCCTGCAGTCTTCTGCATTGGCACTGGGTCATTCAATTAGGGAGATACAATAGGAGTCAAACACAGGGTCAAGACTAGCAGGGGTTTTTGATCTGCCGGCGGTGTGGTGGGCAGCACAAACACAGGAGCAGCATTCCTTCCCCTAAACCCTGGTTTCGTCACTCTGTGATGTGAGGAGGGAGATGAATGGAGCTGGTATGTGAGAGTTCAGGTCAGTGAAGTGGCAGGGAGGAGCAAAGACACCTAGCTATCAATCATGTCAGTCATGGAGCTTGGGGTCATGCACAGACTGGGAGAGGTTGATTATGATATGAGAAAAGTGATAAAATTGAGAAAATCACACCTGACAAAATGATCTGATACAAGTTTCCATCATCTTAAATGTCACTGTGCTATACAGCAAAAAAGGTTTTCATTTTCTGCACTAATTTTCTCTACCCACAGCTTCTTGTCGACCCTGCAATGATACAGAACTCCTGATGGCCATCTGCAACAGTGACTTTGGTAGGTACACATATGATCTCACTCTACATCCAAGATCTGTTTCTCACTGTACAAGGAAACACACTGACAGAGCACCCATCATCAAATTCTCACGAAGATATATTGAAGTTTTCCTGCCCTCCCCATATCATCTGACTGTTTCTTTACAAAGTAGCATGTGACTTGGCCACACTGTACAAACTATGAAAATATGAATGGGATTCGGTCTGAGAGACAAAGGGTGTAAATGGCATAATAGGTCTTGTATAAATGTTTCCAACTGAGAATGAAGCTTTAAGCAACAGTAACATTCAAAACGGCATAAATGACCAGAAAATATCAGCTACAGTAAAGTAAATTTAGTACAGTCCTTCAAGTATTGTACATACTATTAAATGCATTTACTTTCATTTTACTTATATGCAACTTTATACTTCTCCTCTGCATTTATTTAAGTAGTATATATAATATGTTGTGATTTTTATTCATTTCACAAACATACTTATTAGTTCCTCTACAGATTTTACATACAAAATAACAATGATAATTTTAGAAACTGTAATTAAGTGCATAAGTGAGTAATTTTCTGATAGTACATTTGTAATATTACTCAAAATTTTGAGGGCTTTTACTTGTAATAGAGTATTCGTACATTGTATTATTACTGCTTTTACCTAGGTTAAGGATCTGAATACTTCATCAAAGCAGCAGATCTGCTGGCCGTGCAGTTAGCAGAGGTCAAACAGATGTGGTGTGTGTGTGTGTGCGCGCGCGCGCGCGCGCGCGCGTGGGGGGAGGGGGGAGCTGCCGAGTGGGAGGGGCCTGTGCTTGAGAAGAATCAATAGAGATTGATTGCCATGCTTTGGTCTCACAAAACCCCTATGCCCATTTTAAGGAAGGTGAAAGCACATGAGCAGTAAAAGTGCACATGGCTGAAGAAGAAAAGTAAAAGTCAGAAAACACTGAATAAATGTAGGAAACTTATATGATTTGGAGATAAATGGATTTCTAATATAGATCTTTAACTGATTATTTACTTGATTTTCATGCACTAAATTTATAAACATGGTAAAGGGAATTCTGCCATTTCTTTTTCAGTGGTCCGAGGCTACATCAAGAATGTCACCCACAGCCCTGAAAGTCAGACATCATTGGTGGAGGTGACAGCGGTGAGGGTGTACTGGCAGCGCAGTAGAGTGTTTGAGCGACAAGTGGCTCCGGGGACATCTCAATCCATCTCATCTTGGCATGGACACATCCACACACTCCTACGGTGTCACGTGAGGCCCGGGGATGGACAGTTTCTCTTCACAGGGTCAGAACACTTTGGGGAAGCTTGGTTAGGGTGTGCCCCGCGATACAAAGACTTCCTGTCTGTCTACCAGACTGCCCGGGCGGCACGTCTGAATTCCTGTGACTTCCCTTCAGACTGAGGAAGTGTGTTGTTTTGGCGGCACTGAGCCCTACAGTTTTCATCCACAGGCATTCTCAACCCTGTACCGGCACTGCGGGATCCCTGTAATGTTTTAATGTGCCTTCAAGGTGGCGTCCAGTATCACCAGCAGGGAGAAAGCTACTGAACTTCTGGTGAAAAACACATTTGGAGGAGCAGAACAGGGGCAAACAGCAGGGGCCTCCTGCACTGAGGCTCAGGGAGGGCTAGCCTTTGTCTCTTTCCCATCACTGCCCTCGGTCCTGGGAGACTGAGAAGGGGTTGGGTTGCTGCTCCCTCTTTGTGCTTCTCCCCACATCGACTGTTGTTCACTTTGCTGGCTCAGTTTGACAGTTGCCCTCTGAACTGAGGCGGGAGGGTAGAATGAAGGGCCGCCATTTATAATCACCAGTTTGTCTTAGTGAGTAGACTTGAACATATATGACTGTGGAGTTATTTTCATTCGGATTCATCTGTGCTGAAGTTTCAAATCCTCTTTGTTTTGTCTATTTATACTCGGTGTTGTTGAAAAATAAATAATTTCAAGACTCCTCCACATATCTTTGTTTATTCAAAGGATGATTTGCCACATTGTCCAGTTCTGGTAAAAATAATATTTTTCTTTGTTTTAAGAATGATTTACTCCGATGTCTGTTCAGCTTTCATGGTACAATTGTTTAAGCTTTCATTTGATCTTAAATTCTTTAGGTATTGAGATGAGCCAAAGAAACATTTGGTTGAAGTTTATATTTGACTGGATTCAATAAATCCTCTAGGTCTTTCACTTTTATTGTCGAGATCAAATGATTTAACTCTGCCAAGCGTCCTTGAAAAAGTGAAAGGTGTTTTATTTTTATGTGTTGTAAATCACGGTGAAAGTAGACTCTTTTGGTTGTTGCAGCCAAATATCTAAGGCAGTGGTTGTTTTAATATACGTTAGATTGATAAACATTCATAAAGGCATGTGGTTTTTGAAAAGTACAATTTTGGTTTTGTTATCTACAATAAAGAAAAATTCTAAATTTGAATTTCAAACATATTATTTTTACATAATTACACATTTTTATCTTAACGGAGAATCTCAGTTCATATGTGAGTGATAAAATGTTCAGAAGTGATTCAGCTCATGACCAATGCATAAAAATCTAAATTTCATGAGGTCTTCTATTTCACAAGAATGCAATGACCGCTTAAACCTCTGCACTCTTTCTCTGCTAAACCCTTAAATGAACTTACGCCCCTCTATTCTCATCATATGCTGCATAATCTCTGATTTTATGAGGAGAATGGCGTTTAGAGCTGAAGTGTCCTACAAGCTTATTTAGCTCCTTTTTCCTTTTGCATACCATCCTTTCCCCTGTAATCAGATTCTTATGATAATAGGATAGCCCTAGCATAAAATGAAATACAAAATCTCCTTAAATGGCTAAAGCTCTGAGCAGACTGAATCAAACTTTTGTGTGGCCCCTGCATCACAGCCCAAGAAGACGAATGGACAGATGTGAGGCCCCAAAGCCTGGGGATCCTCCCCCTCAGCCCCTCCCAGAAGAGGGGAACAATTAATTGACTTTTAAAGCAACTGCTTTCCGAGCCTATTCCACACTTCTCCTTGGCTGAGCAGGGCTCACAAATTGGTGTGTTGAACTTTTTATGAGGACTAAATAGCTGCCAATGAAAGTGTAAATGACTGTGTGGTGAATGGGGCCCACACAATGGCCCTGCAGTGACAAGGCCTCTGGCAGACATAATGACCATTGTCACGGCTGCTGTCATCTAGAAACCATCAGGGCCCATGAATCCAAGGAGCTAGAGGAGGGGTGAGCCCTCACTCGGTCCACATTTTCTCGTCTTGTGTATTTCTGCTACATATTCTTACCATAGTTCATATTTCTCCGTATCTGTTCTCTCCTTATGCATGTTGTCTGTGTCAGTCTCAGCTAAAACCGATGAAACTGCATATTATTAAAGTTGTAACCAGCCATTAAAAACATACTGGACTTCTTTTTTTTATGTTTCTGGGACATTTAATGCCTTTGTTTTAAAAAATTGGATATTAGACAAATGATATGACAAATGGCACTCGATATTTTAGATCAATTTTAATATGGACTGCTAAAATAAACTGCTAAAACATTTTCTGGGCACCAAGAGGGGTCTATGTATATAAGACATGGTTACAGGCTGCAAAATAAAAATCTTATTTGGTGAATGTTGCCAAAAAATCAAGGCTTCCACAAACTTTTTTCACCCTTCAGAAGCCCAGTTTGAAGTCTCCTCCCTCAGTATTGTCCCAAGGGGCCACCATGTCAAATTTCGAAGCAAAATATAGCCTCTCTGCAGGCTTTTGAGACCACACAATTCTCATCTCAGGGAATTCCAGCAGGCTCTCATGGGGAATGAGCCCAGGAGGGCTCAGACGGGAGGTGCTGCATGGTGCACCGGCAGGAGTCCGTCCAGACTGGGGGGTAATTGGTTTATCCCACCGCCTGCCCTGCTTTCCCATGTGGGACACTGCTGTGGGGAGGCTCAGGGGTACAATATGGAAACAGCATGATACCCTCCAGTGCCGAACAGGCATTCACTGCTCCGGCTATAGAGACCGGGGACAGGCAAGGAGGAACACAAAGCTGGAGCAGAGATGTCTCTTGGCTTTGAAAAGGTTGCCATTTGGTCTCCTTTTAACGGTGAGCAGCATTTGTGGTCGAAAATGTGAAGTAATTGAATTTTGGCACAAGCTTTTTATATATATATATATATATGAATGTTCTTCTCAATTCAAAAGGTAATGAGTTAGACAATTTTCTACTTGTGTTGTTGTGGTCACTCATGCACCTGTCATGCACCTGGTTGAAAAATAGATTTCTATGATGTCTGGCATTGCAACGAGTACTAGCCAGGAGAAATACATGTCCTCACATCAGGGATTGTGTAGGAGTTCTGAAAATAAATCATGGTTTTATTTACAACCCAGCAGAGTATGTGCAAATTCAAGTTAATACAAACCAGCATGCAAACTCTTGAGACAGAGAGCCAAGTTTATTCAGTTTACTAATTATCTACAGCTCTGTTTAACTTTACCTACAGTGTGGCAGGACCAAGTAGATACTAAATTATACTGTAAGTTAAGTATGATATCACACACTGTACAAGCACACAAGCATCACACTCCAACACTTGTTCTTAAACAACCAACTTGAATAAAAACATAAGAACCTTTCATTATGTTTAGTCTAGTTAAGTTTATTGTGTAGCAATAAAGGTATACAAGAACATCTCAGTGGAAGAAAAGAAGGGGGTTATATTGTAACTGTAGAGGATAAAGCCATCTGATGATCTAAGTGTGTTGGTGTGAACATAACCTCATTTCAGAATGAGTCGAATCTTGTGGTCTCCGAGAAGGAGTCTGCCAAAACAGGAAAACAATTTGTTTAGTCAGTAAGAATCTTTAAAGAGGACCTATTATGCTTTTACGAGTTTTCCCTTTCGTATAATGTGTTAGTTTTTGTCTGCCTTACTTCCTAGACTTATAGACATCAGTACGTCCCTCAGCACCACCCACCTGCAAGCTGGATGAGCACTGCAAGCTTAGCATGCAGCACAGCACACAACTACTTAAAATAAAGGCCAGGAAAAGTTTTTTTAGTTTTGTAGCCATGCCGAAAAGAGACTGTGTTCTAACTTGCCTGGAGAAATCTACTTTGTACGCTTGACCATCGACAGAACCACAAAGAACTCAGTGGCTGGAATTCATTTAAACCAGATTCCCTCAACTGATCCAAATATTTTACTGTGTGCCCAGCACTCCAAGGAGGACTGCTTCAAAAACCGCACACAGTTCAACGCAGGACTTTCGCAATGGTTATGTGTGAAGTACGAAGCAGTTCCCGCTTTACATCGTCCGTCAGGAGACTCAGACTCACAACCTGTAAGTAGGCCATGCATTGTGGATTTGTGAAGTATAACTGGGGGTCCCGGTGACCTGATCACTTTAGTACAAAGCAGTGGAGCAACATGCATAAAGATATAGTGTAAATGCTAAGAAGTTTGTCAATATTGACATGCTATGCCTTGTTAACTCAGATTGATTATCCACAATCTGACCATTCGGTTCATTTTTCAGTAAACCAGCAAGACAACAAAGCCGTGGTGACCCCCTACCTTTGAGGTTGTCCTGAAGTCAAATTGCCTGGCAGTGGGTATGCTTGTTTTCCTGCTCTAGTCCAACTTGAAAGGATCGGGTCTATCATTGTCTTGTTCAAGATAGGCCTCTGACTCAAACTACTACAATCGTTTGTTTACAACTGAGCAAGAAAGCAAGATGTGGGCAGAATGTATAGTTGCCTGCTCTTAAGCTGACCAATCAGAGCATACAAGGCTCTGATTGGTCAGAGAAAAAATGCTCTGAAGAAAAATAATGTCTTTTTTATTTCGGACATTGACACATGTAAATCTATTTTAGTATACACTAAGAATAAAATGATGAACACTAAAAATGGTCATAATATGTCCTCTTTATCATATATGCAATAAATCGAACTATTTTAACATGGGTTAGTGTTTTAGTATTAAGTGTATGTGTTGTGTTGCACCTACCGGACAAGGGCAGCTGCTATTAGACCTCCTGCAATGGGTCCTACCCAGTAGACCCAGTGATAAGTCCAGTAGTTGCTCACTATGGCTGGACCAAAGGCTCTGGCTGGGTTCAGACATGTCCCAGATACATCTCCACTGATAAAACAAACAATTAAAGAAGATATTTGGATGATTTTCTCACTATTTGTGTGGAACATACGAATATTTATGTGAACTGGAATGGTCTCCTCTGTTTGCATCACTGCTGCAGCAAAAACATGACATCCAATCATCCTATGTGAGATATAGCAATAAAACTGCTAATGTGATGAGAGATTAAATTACCATGAATGCATTTAGAGGAAATGAAGTCATGCAGATAAAGAATTTTACTGCAAAATGTCCCTAATGCTCTTTCAAAACAGATGCACTTTACTGTAAAAATGAACCTTTCATATGTAAATTCCCAGTTCTTCCTCTCACAAATCATTACTCACCCTGCCAGGACATTGATGATAACAGTGCAGCCAACCATGAAAGGCACCAGGGGGCTTCTGGTCTTGGCGTTCACAGCCCCCAGCAGCACCACCATGGTGACCAAGCAGGTCATGGCGACCTCTCCAAACAGAGCTCCTCCTATTGGACCATCTGACTGTAGCAGATCAAACGCGGCCCCGTGGGCCTTGGCGTAGTTCTCTCTGGAGGTCATTGCCTGTTGGCATCGGTCAGTTGTGATTCAGTTGTGAAGAGGTCCCATTTCACGTACATATAAGAGAGTCTAAGGATGATTTAATGATATACAAATGTGACAGCTTCACCTTTGCCATAGCAGCTCCAAGCACCCCTCCAACCAACTGACATGCGAGGTACGGGACCACCATGTTCATCTCCATCCCCCCACACAGAAAGATGGCCAGGGTGAAGGGAGGGTTGAAATGGGAACCACTGTAGAGGCAAAAAATAAAGCTAAAACTTCAGTTGTGGGGTAAACATTTGAGTTTTAGCCAATTTTAAGTTTAAGTGATGGAAAGTTTCTGCAAATTATTTGTAAAAGATTAAATTGTTTAACACAGATTGAATGAATAATAGTATGAGTAGTCAGGACTGATTTATTCAGATGGCTGTTTTCTAAATATAATCCTTTGACTACTAAAATGTGATGTACAGAAACATGTAAAGTAATAGTGAATGTTCAATGGCACAGATAAGTAATGTCTCTAATGTGAGGCTCATTGTGCTCCATTTTTTCACGTTTTTAAACAATTAGTTTTTGAGATGCATATGCACTCAAAACCACCATAGATGGTATGAATCAAAAGAAATTACTGACTTAGCAGTTATATGAAATTGATTATTAAACCATCCAGAATTCTATGATAACTAAGCTAAAACTCTTTTTTTTCATGGCACAATAAACTGCACAATGTGGATAAAATATCTGTTTTTGAAAGAACAGGGAAGATGATCCTCACCTGATCTCAGCCATGCAAGCCACCATGATGGCTACAGCCAGACCATGCACCAGAGCTGGCTGAAGCCTCCCCGCAGACTCCACATTCTCTATGACTGACACACACCCGATAAACACAAAGAATGTAGTTCCTACCAGCTCGCCCAGACAGGGCTGAAATAACCTCTCAAATTTGTTCAGAGGTCTGATCGGAGTCTGTTTAGATTCTGTA